TTTTACTCCAGATTTTTCTCGGTTCCCTTTGAACCTTATCAAACACCAGGTAGTCCTCTTCCAGGTAGCCCTTTCCCACCACGCTCCGGCCTCTCAACAAGAGCACCAAATGATACGATACTCAAGCCAAAATCCTAACTCCACCACAAAAGCTAGATCATGAGTGAAAGTTTGGCCCCAACTTTCCTGATTTTCCCAATGTATGCGAATTTGATATCCAATTGAGTTTTGAAATTAACTTCCTTTACCTTAGTTGCAAATTCTTGAGCACATTTGCTGTCATTCCCTCCACATAAGAAAATGTCATTTCTCTTTTTAATCTGTTCAAACAAATATTGTGGTGTCAAAAATTTATAACACAACAAAATTTAAGGACAAACACGTTCAAAAAATCTTTTTCATTCGTAGTCAAACACCTTGTGCTCAGATGACACCTCAGTCTCCCTCCTTGATGGAAAGTCACAGGATCGAACCCCGGTGATAAGGTATTGATTCTTTGAACTCAAAAAAAAAAAATCTTTTTCATTTGTAAGGGTGAGGAGAAGATGCACTTTTAAATCAATTGTTTATCAAAAACTTCAATATTGTATAGGAATTAGTCTTCAACTAATAGCCTGATGTATAGGCATAGTTAGGACTCCTAAACTTGTTGTATCTCTATTTTTCAGTCAATCAATCTAGAACAGACTTATCACTTCATCTGGTATCAGTTAGCGTTAGGTTATCTCTCTCCCCAAAAATGTCGAACAACTCCAGTGAACGCACCGTCACCGCCGCCACTGCCGCACCTCCGGCCACCCCAACATCCCTATCGGCGGCACACCATTTTGTGTCGCTGAAGCTAACATCAAGGAACTTCCTCTTCTGGCGTACGCAATTGATCCCCTTCCTACGCGGCCAGGGATTGCTCGGATACGTCGACGGCGAACTGCCGTGCCCACCGGCGGTTCTCACCACCACTCCCGCCAGTGATGACGCCTCCGGCGGTACGATGTCCACACCTCCCTAAATCCGGCGTACACCTTCTGCGTCCAGCAGGACCAATCAATTCTCTCCCTCCTCATCTCGTCTCTCTCCGACGAAGTGATGTAACTCGTCGTTGGCCGCAATACATCCCGCGAGGTCTGGCTCTCCGTCACGGCGGCGTTGGGATCATCCACTCGAGCACGATATCTGAACCTTCTTGGGCAATTTCAGAATCTTCACCAGGGTGACAACTCGCTGGCGGAATACCTCGGCCAGGCACAGTTGATCGTGGAGGACCTTGCGTTGGCCGGTCGTCCGATGAGCCTAGATGAACAAAACCTCTATGTGTTCAAAGGTCTTCGGCCGGAGTTCTGCTCCATGGCCACCTCGCTTGCCGTCACAAGTACTCTGGTATCTATTCCTCAACTGTCAGACTTTCTCCATGAGCAGTAGTTCATCCTCGCTGAGGATTTCCCAGCGAGTGGCGATGGAGTTCTTGGCGCCCCTTCAACGACGATGATGGCCGGACGTGGTCGTCGGCAGAACCATGAAGGCGGCTCCGGAAACAGGCAGTCGAACGGAGGACAGAACCGTGGCCGGAATGGCGGTCGTGGACGAGGCGGATAGGGCCGTGGCCGTGGCGGTACTCCCCGGTGTCAAATATGCAGTTCTCACGGCCACACTGCCGTATATTGCTTCAAATGCTACACCGGCCAGCCGCCTGCACAGGCGCACATGGTGGTCGCCGGTGATGACAGCACTACCGCGGGTGGTGACGCATGGTTTCCGGACACCGGGGCCTCTTCCCACGCAACTCCAGATGCTTCTATGATAGCTCAATCCGAGACATACACCGGTGGTGATGTGCTATGGGTCGGCAACGGTACAGGTTTCGGAATTTCACGTGTCGGTCATGCGTCTTTACCTTTGGTGTCTAGAAATCTGAGTTCGTCAAATATCTTGCATGTTCCCCAATTATCTGTACCAATTCTGTCTGTTAATCGGTTCACACGTGATAATAAGGTATTTTTTAAATTTCACCGTAATTTTGTTATTGTGAAGGACTCCACTACCAAAGCACCACTCCTTAAGGATCCTAGTTTGGATGGTCTATACAAGTTGTCAGTTCCCCGGGCACATCTTGCATTCATAAGTGCACGTGCATCGTCTAGTGTCTGGCATCGCAGGTTGGGCCATCCTCATGCGCGTGTTCTCCAGCAAATTCTCAAAAATTGTTCAGTCACGTCAAATAAACCGAGTCTCTCTGGGTGTGTTCAGCGTGCCAGCATAGCAAACCGGTGCGATTTCCATTAGATAGGGTTCATTCTAGTAGTAGTAATGTTCTAGATCTTTTGTATACAGACATTTGGGGCGTTGTGCCCGTTATTTCAGCGAACGGGTTTCGCTACTTTGTATTGTTTGTGGACGATTACTCTCGGTTCTGCTGGTTTTACCCCTTACGGTTAAAATCAGATATTTATAAAGTTTTTTAGTTGTTTCGAGTGATGGTTGAATGCCGTTTTTCGCGTTCTATAAAAACCATCCAGTCTGATTTAGGGGGAGAATACCGCCGTCTTCATTCTATTTTTGAGTCCATCGGAATTGTGCATATGCAATCTTGTGCCTATACACACAAGCAAAACGGGCGGGTTGAGCGCCAGAACATGCATGTTTTCGAAACCGGCTTAGCCGTCCTCACAGAAGGCTCAGTTCCCCTTAAACATTAGGATGCATCCTTTGAATATGCCTCCTACCTTATAAATTGTATGCCCTCCTCCGTGTTGCAATTTACTAGTCCATATGACCGTCTCTACAAAACACCACCACCATACACTTTCTTTCGGGTCTTTGGGTGTCGTTGCTATCCCTATCTTAGGCCCTATAATCGGCATAAGATAGAGTACCGCTCTGCACCCTGTGTGTTCCTAGGTTATCCTAAGTCATTTAGGGGTTATCGATGCATGGACCTAAACACGGGAAAGACCTTTATATGTTGCCACGTAAGATTTGATAAATCTATATTTCCATTTGCAGCAGAATCAACCTCACAGGTTGTCACACGTGAGGTTTCCCCGACTGCACCATGGGGCTTTGGGCAGTTAGTATCGTCAGTGGGGCCTTCTATTCCCCAACCAGAAGTAACCCCACCGCTTCTGGCTCTACCTGCACTGATCAAAGCCGCCACGGCTAGGTGATGTTATCACATCTGTGCTTGTTTTTATAGTTATTTTGAATCATCTCGATAATTAAGTTCTTTAATTTTACTTATTTAATACATGTTTTCCTTGCTCATATCATTTAATTATGGTTCACACTTGTTTTGAATGTTTTACGGTGTTTGTTAGTGTTTTTGAACCATTGTAGGTCAATTCCATGAGCAAGGAAAGTTCAAGGATGAGTTTGGAGCAATTTTGGACAAGTTCGGGGCCCAGAGAACTCGACGCGTCGAAAATCTCCAGAAAGTTTGGTGATCGGGACCTGCTGGTCTCGACGCGTCGAGCGAAGACGCTGAATACAAATCAAATTGGGGCGGCAACATTACAAAACAAAACCAAATTTAAATCATGAGGCAATGATTCCTTAATCATTGGGGCACCATTCCCAAAGAAAGCCATCAAACTAGCCACATCAAAATTCCAATTAAGTGGGACGGCAATTTCTTATTTAAATATAGGAATTATAATTTGAGTCCAATTTTGTACAAGATTCCTATTTCATCTCAACTTTGTACCCACTATAAAATCCCTCCTTCCTCAACCCTAAAAAAGACGGGGAGATTTTTAGAGTTCTTTGTAGACAAGAAAGAGAGGAATCAAGAGGCTCAAGTTGTCTTTGGAAGCAAGTAGGAAGCCAAGGAGATTTGGGAGAATCGCTTGGTTAATTCTTGTTCTCTTTTGATGATTTGTAATCCTTTATTCATATTTGCTATGTGTAATTTAGCTATGCTCGGCTAAATTCTTTAAGGATTTTTGGGTGAATTTGTTTATGAACCTATGTGCCTAGTTCGTTAAGTTCTTAATATATTTATGTTTGGTTTTATGATTTGTGTTGCAATCTTGTTTTAATCTGTTGTTGTTGGTAGTTAAAGGCCTAAATTACTAGCTTCACAGTCATGTTTGTGTCACCAATGGGAGTTGGGGCATAAATTAGGGCACACACGATTGCACCTAATGGTTGGTCCTTGGGAAAGGGGAACTTATTAGGGGAAGTTTATTCTAGATTATTGCTCATCGGGAGATGGTAGTAATTAGGAATAATTAAATGCTGATCTTTGATCTTATTGGGTGTTTAAGCCATGGGAGTGGAAATTCACTAGGAATAGAGATTACGGGAGTAATTCGATTCCACTTTGCATTCCCATACAAATCTTAATTCCAAACCAAATATTACAAACGTTAATTGGCACTAGGTGATTAAACATTGTGATCCCAAGAATCCTATTTTGCTCTATTGTCTACAAAACCTTGCTACTTATTTTATTCTGCTTGTTATTTTATGCAATCAATCAACCTTCAAGTTTTGTTCGGACTAGTTTCATATGAGTAACCTAGTAGCTAGTGATTAGTACACCACCTCTCTGTGGTTCGACAACCCGAATACTCCGGGTATTATTTGTTTGCCCCAAATTACAGCAATCACTAGGCGGCGGACCACACGCACCTAGCCACAAGATCGAGCTCATGTCATGAGATTTCGACACGTGACACGGGGTACGGATGAGCAGTTCCATGCTCTAACAGCTACAATTGACCCCACTTGCTATTCTCAGGCAGTGGGCCACCCACAGTGGCGTGATGCCATGGACCAGGATTTCAACGCCCTATTGCACAACAATACCTGGCTCCTAACCCTGGCCCAGACAGGCATGAATATCATCGGGTGCAAGTGGGTGTATCGGACCAAGTGCAAATCTGATGGTTCCATTGAGCGCTACAAGGCGCGTGTGGTAGCCAATGGGTTTAACTAGGTTGTCGGTGAGGACTTCTTTGACACTTACAGCCGTGTGGTCAAACCAACTACAGTTCGGTTGTTACTATCTCTTGTAGTTTCTAAAGGTTGGACATTGCGTCAACTTGACGTACATAACGCCTTTTTGAATAGCCACTTGGTTGAAACCGTGTATATGCGGCAACCACCGGGCTTTGAGGACCCAGCGCACCCCGATCACGTCTGTCACTTGCAACGGTCACTTTATAGCTTGAAGCAGGCACCACGTGCGTGGTTCAAGCGCCTGCATGATTACTTACTCACTGCAGGTTTTTCAGCATCCAAGACTGATGTGTCTCTATTTCACCACTCAGTAGGGACTTCACGGGTATTTTTACTTGTGTACGTAGATGACATCATCATGATGGGTAATGATTCTGGATTACTTAACACTCTGCTTCTTCGTCTCGCTACCGCCTTCAAAATTCGGGACCTAGGCACACCGAGCTTCTTTCTTGGCATTGAGACCGTGCCCGTGGGTGATGGGCTTCTTCGGTCGCAACGGCGCTACATGGACGACATCTTGTATCGAGCCGGTATGACTGATTGCAAGCCTCTATCTACTCCGGCGTCCTTGACACAGCATGCTGCTCCCTCGGCTGAACCGTTCGAGAACCCCACACAGTATCGTCGTCTGGCTAGGGCTCTACAATACCTGACTATCACACGCCCGAATCTCTCTTACACAGTAAACCGGTTGTGTCAGTTCATGCACGCTCCTACCACCGAGCACTGGGTCTCTTGAAGCGTGTTCTCCGCTATGTCAAGGGCACTCTTGCATATGGGCTGCGCTTAACGCCGTCGTCGTCTTGTGAGATTCACGCGTTCTCAGATTCTGACTGGGCTGGCTGCCCGATTGATCAGAAGTCGACTAGTGGCTATGCGGTCTTTCTTGGCTCGAACTTGGTTTCTTGGGTTTCTCGTAAGCAGAGGACTGTTGCACGTTCGTCCACGGAGGCTGAGTATAAGGGACTGGCTGACGTAGCTGCTGAGGTTACTTGGGTTGTGTCACTACTCCGTAAGCTGGACCTACACTCTGGTGCGCCCGCCACACTTTGGTGCAAAAATCTCTGGGCCACCTATTTATGTGCGAATCCGGTGTTTCACGCCCGCACAAAACACGTGAAATCGACTATCATTTTGTCCGAGATAAGGTAGCCTCAGGTGATTTCGTGGTCAACTTTGTGTCCACCAAGGACCAGCTAGCGGACATCTTCACCAAACCCTTACCAACAACGCGGTTTGAAACGCTGAGGACCAAGCTCAATGTTGTCTCCTTACTTATCAAATTCATCATTATTTTTATGTTCGATTCCTTGCCTAATGTTTACTTCGATGAAATTTTTTCATCTTCAATTCTTTGCTTCAAGTCTACATACTCCTATAATAAACACATCAACGCACATTTAAGCATAAAAGTAAAAGGTAATGAATTGAGTGTCAGATTAGTGCAACGTAACAACTAAGCCCCTTATTAAGTACGCAAAAAAAAATAAATAAATAAAAAATAAAAAATAAACCCCAAAAGAATCAATGCTAGATTAGATTCCGTGTGTATTTTTCTAAGAGTTGGTGTTGATGTGTTAGTTTAACTAACTTGGATTTTTAAAAAGTATTTAGAGATTTAGAATTTTTTTAAAAAAAAGTTAAAAACAATTGCCAGACAGAAGGTGTCGAAGACAACCTTCGTCTGACTTCCTTCCTTAATATTGTTGTTGTTGTTGTGGTGGTGGTGTGTGGCGCTGCATACCGAATGCAAAAGTACTACTTTGCATGTGTCGCTCGTTTCCTACTTTGTTGTTTAAACAAACTGTCTTTTACTTTTCTTTGTGAAAGAAACAATATAATGCAATTTCTAAGAATAAAGTGGGAGTGTTGATTATATTATTGATTCAGTGGTAGTGTTCAATGAATTGAAGCCGGCCGCACCATGGATAAATAATTTATGGTTTATTGAGTTCAAAGTAAGTACTTTATGCTATTTTTCATATTTCCAGTTTCCCACAATATTATATTGTAATATATAATTCAGAGGTCGTGGAATTCAATTCCATATGTCATGGTCATGACAACATGTGAAAGTCACATATTTATGCATATTGTAAGAACATTGAGGACAATTCACATCTTCTGGAATTTTATCCAAAGTATATGGATATTCAAGGGCGCAATAAGCATGGTAACCTTGAGAGGAAGAAGCATGGTTCTCATAATAATCTTTGAATGCTTGGCTGAAACCATCATTGTACACATTGCTCTTCCATTCTTGAATCCCACTAATCACTTTCAACATTTTGTCTCCAAAATCACACAAAACCACTTCTTCCCCTTTGCTTAACAAAACCCATCCTCCAACTGATGTGCCATTAGCTTCATAAGCTAGTAACTTTTGGAGTCCTCGAACAATTTTGTCATCACCATCATCACGACCAGTCTTATTTAAATAATAATTCATCCTCGACACAAATGCACTCTGAAGTCGTGTCCAAAACCAAAAATATTCTTCATTAGAACTAAAGACATAATCACTTATACTTCCTATAAGTGACATTACTTTCATGTTTTTCCCAATGTATGTGAATTTGATATCCAATTGAGTTTTGAAATTAACTTCCTTTACTTTAGTTGCAAATTCTTGAGCACATTTGCTGTCATTCCCTCCACATAAGAAAATGTCATTTCTCTTTTTAATCTGTTCAAACAAATATTGTGGTGTCAAAAATTTAAAACACAACAAAATTTAAAGACAAAAAAGTTCAAAAAATCTTTTTCCCTTGTAGACAAGCACATTGTACTCAGATGACACCTCAATCTCTCTCCTTAAAAGAAAGTCATAGGATCGAATCCCGGAGGTAGGGTATTGACTATTTAAACTCAAAAAAATCGTTTTCATTTGTAAGGGTGAGGAGAAGATGCATTTTTAAATCAACCGTTTATCAAAAAATTCACTATATACAGAAATGAGCTATATATAGTGGCTTCAATTATAAAATATGTAAATATATATAGCATGACATATGAACTTACCCAATATGTTATCTTGTTATCTATGTCAAATTCACTCCATTGTCTCGTCTTGCGTACCAATACTTCCAGATTCCAATAAGTTTCCTCATCCCAAAACTCTTTTTCTTTTTTATTCGTGTAATTATATGAAGAATCCTAAAGAAAACAAAAAAGTGTTATAATATAAAAGTAAAACTTACAACTAAAATTGTTTTTTAAATTGATATAGACATGAAATTGTAATTAGCTGAAAGGATTCGTAATAAAAGTACGTACCGAATCTTCTATCCTCTCGTTAATGTTATTTCTCCAATCATGAATTTTTTGGTTAATGTCTTCAACCAAATTGCTTATCCTCTCCTTAATATCAACAATCGCAGTATCAACCCCCAAAGTTATTTCCGTCAGCCCCTTTTCTAATAAAGGGATGATATTATATCCCCTACGAACAAACACCCTACTGAATGCAAGATCATCTCTCCATGTCAAGATCATGTGTAGTGCATTAGTATGAACTAATTTTCCACAATTGTCGAGTGAAATAACAATAGGGTTCCCACCACTCAGAAAAGCTGGAAAGGATTTCTCCTTAACAAATCTAATGAATTGTGGTGTAATCCTTTCATGTGGATCCCGCACCATTAATCCAAACTCTAATATTTCTCTGAGATGGGATTGCATTTTTTGAGTTATCCAAAATTCAAGATCATCTATTATTGGAATCCAAATGGTCCAAACATTGTTAGTTTGTAATTTGGACAACTGACGGGAGAGAAATCCAGCTTCAGAAACATTTGTGCCTGACACTATTACCAATAGCACCCTCTTATTCTTCAACGTGTCTACTCCAAGTCGGCGATAAACTGGCTGACATCAATAATTATAGAGATTAAATAGTTATACACTCAATACTAATGTATTTTTTTAAAAGAAATTTTATGTCAACATAGTAATAAGATTCTGATTAGAAGAAAAAACCTATAAATACTTACCCAAGGATCAAAAAATATCCACTCTTTATCGTCCTTGACATTGAATATTAATTTGAGAACTTCTAAGTTATCAAGAGAGTGACTAAAAGCATGCAATAACGCTTTGTAAGATTTTTCAGTTCTCTTCGCCTCTGCACATGCAAAACTATAATTAATATAATAGTGTTTACAAATGGCACCAATAGTTATGTAGATATGCACCAACACTGTTAGAAAATGCACAACACAAATATGCATCAACATTGTTAGGAAATGCACAACACAAATATGCACCAACATTGTTAGGAAATGCACAACACAAATATGCACCATAAGGTACGCATCACCAAAAAACGCACCATAAGGTAAGCATAAAAGTACCACACAGTGTTCAGAAATGCACAATTAGGTGTGGAGAGTTATAGTGCATTATTTTGGGTGTGTCGTGCGCTTTTTGGTGTATTTGTGCATTTTTCTAACACTATTGGTGCCATTTATTAACACTATTGGTGCATTATATTTTTCAAGTGGCCACACCGACCGCACGGGAAGGCGCAACCGCATTTGAGTAGACTTATATATATATATATATATATATATATATATATATATATATATATATATATATATATATATATATATATATATATATAGTGCACACACGACACTGAATATGTTTGATAGCTATTACTTAATTGACGAGGGAAATCCAAAGTTGTCCACAGCTGACCGACTCAAATCAAGAATGCTAATAAGTCAATCCCACCGCGGGCGTGTATTATCAAGCCATTAACTTCGCTAGGATTGACCATTGACAGTTATAACTTGAATGGCACAAACCTAGTAGTGAGTAGCAGGAGGAGAGTATGCTTTTGGATTTGGCAATTAAAGTGGATTCTTCCATTATGTCAGTTTTGGACCTGAAAGAAAACAACATTGTTGAAACATCAGTAACCAACCTTATTAATAAATTTACTCATTTGCTGTTATATATATATATATATATATATATATATATATATATATATATCATCATCATCATTCATCAACCACTTGTACAATTGTGATACAATGTATTGAAATTGTATACTCTAGGGGTTATTATTGATGTATGCTAGTTTAGAGTAAGTATAATATTGAGTTAATTGCTCCAAAAGTCCAATGTCTTTGGTGGCAATTCCAAACTATCGTTTTTGTCATTTAACATCTATCCAAAGACTATTATTTTTTGAACATTTTTAGTCTTTCTCATAACTTTTTCTATTTTTAGTAAGGACATTTTTGTCTTTTTATATTTTTCTTTTGTTATTTTTTCGATTTCAACCGGTTTAATTAGTTTAGAATTTTACTGTAACCTCTGATTTTTTTTTAGTAATCATATTTTTAAACCGGTTTTTAATGAAGTCCTAAACCAATTAAACGGGTTAAAACTAGAAAAATAAGAAAAGAAAAATATGAAGAGACAAAAGATATGAAAAGCCATGAGAAGGATTAAAAGCGTCAAAAAAATAATAATCTGGGATGCTAAATGACAAAAACGATAGTCTGGGACTAAATTTAGAATTGCCACCAAAGACAAGGGACATATGGTGGAATTAACTCTATAATATTTATACACATCCAACTTAAATGCCTACATCATGAGTATGTCTAAATAAGAGGGTAAACCCTGCCTTATGATCCTAGTCGGAAATTAAGAACCATAAAAAGATAAATCAGCTTAAACCAAGATGACAAATAGACTACTTCCGCTAAGAGTCAAACTTGGAACCTTGTAGTTACCAAGCTAGCACTCCAACCAATTTGACGGGGATTGTCCCAACTATAATACATTTTATACTTGTTAAAAATTTAGCACGGCACATAGTACAATATTTTTACTTCAATGCATACTAAATAAAGTGAGTTGTTCAACAATCACTAGAGTTCCAATAATATATCAGACATTAAATTAAATACTTACTTAACACCAAAAAAACGCCGGGTAAAAGCAAAGCAACTCCGGGTAATCCAATAAGTCGCCAAAATCAGTGGTTGCAGTGGAGATAAAGATGACGGTTGATTAAGCTCACTCACACATTTAACGAACTTTATAATGAACTTAACAATAGAATCATCACATATTTTCTCAGATAGCGCAACAATTTGGTTTTGCTTGAAAAGTCTCAACTTGTTTGCTAATTTGTTCCAACGACTATGTTGATAAATAGTGATGAAATCTCCACAGATTAAGGAAAAAGCTCAGCTCCAAGCATCATGACTACCTTGGCTTCCCAAGGGTAAGTCGATAATATGCTTAGTAGACAGATCGTTGCTAAGTGACAATCGGTATCATTATTCAAACTTTTAAATGCTACCTGTAAAAGAAAATGAACATGCATGAAAAGGGAAAAAAAACATCTATATTAACATGGACAAAAAAGTAATATTACAAGTATATATGATACAAATATTTAACATATTTGAACAAATTAAATTTTCAATATTGCAATATTGGTTACATTTGAATAAAGTACTCCGTATATATATACTATATATGAATTCCAATTCAATGAGTTGATAGAATTGTAATTACATATAACCAAACATCCTAATATATCGTGTGCAAATTTCAAAAAATTACCTCAAAGGAAAGTTGTTTTATTTGATATGAGAGTTCCTTGTGAATGGGCGATTGTAGCATTGGCATGTCATTCTCGACCTCTCTAAAATCTTGAATGGACTTTTTAGTTATTAGCATGTCTTGTTCAACTTCTCTAGAAACCTAAAGTAAATTACATCATTTGTTACTCCATTATTAACAAAATGTGACAAAAACATCAAACAAGCTTCACTGTCAACTTGAGCTAATAGAACAATTAACATTATATATTGTTTTTTTTTTTTTTTTTTTTTTTTTTTTTTTTTTTTTGATTTGGGTATATATAAAGTAGTAAAATTTAGTCAAAGACATTAGCAGTGAGGAGTGGTGTTATATACATGAGTTAGCATTAAACTACCAAATATAAGTACACTACTGCAAGAAAACAATAAAATACCTACGAAATATCTAGCTAATTAACATGCCCACGATACTAAAACCCATTCATAAAATGCAAAATTTGACAAACCGTGTTAGGGTTGAAAATATTTTCCGCTAAGTTGATAACAAAATCTGCATCTAACTCGATGTTGATGTTGGCATTGAGATGATGAGTAGCCATTACTTGTTCTGCGATGACAACGTCATCAAGGTCCATGTTTGAGAGTGGGCTATGCAGCACCGTTGGTGGTTGTGAAATCAATGGCTGAGATAATAGAGGTATAGGTTGAGTTGTTCCTATAGGCTATAACATACGTGTTTCAATACCCTCTTATATAGCCATATGAAATTAGGAATCAAATGGGACAATATTCTTCAATTCTTTGCCTCATGTTTACTTCAATTAGGAATTTTTTTTCATCTTCAATTCCTTGCTTCAAGTCTACATCAATTAATTGGGAACCTTTTTCTTTTTGTTAGTATTCTCAATTCCTTGCATAAACTTTACTTCAATTAGAACTTTTTTTTTTTCCTATGACACTATATAATGATCTAAAATGTAAATATCAAATTTTGACTCATAAAATTTTTTTCTTTACTTTATTGCTTGCTCCAAATAAACTCAAAACGCATCTACACGTAACACATATTTAAGCATGCATAAAAGTAAAAGACATATGGAAGAAACAATGTCTACATTTCATAGGGGTTGTTTATATTATCGTTCCAATAGTGACAATGTTCAATGAAGTAAGTCAAATTGCGAATAAAGAATTTGTGGCTTAACCAAATTAAAGTAAGTAATTTATATATATGTTATTTTTCATTTTTCTTTTAATTTGCTCAATGTATTTAATTAATGTTGTAATCAATAAGTTTGGTGTATGTTATGTATATCTGATCTCACCATATAAATAAAGTTACAAACTAATATTCCAATACCAAATACCAAATATGAACATAACTATAACTTAGAGACTAAATATGTTCCACAAGTATAACTAGAAAATAAAAAATCAATCATTACGGTCCACACAAGTTTTATGAACCATATTTTATACACTGTAAAATAGTGTACATCCAATACAAAAATAATGTACATTCAGTACTAAAATAATGTACATTGTATTCACGGGATGTACATTATTTTTGTACTGAGTGTACATTATATTGTATAATGTACATACAGTACAAAAATAATATACATTTAGTATATTAAAAATGTATTTTTTTGTTATGGTTCACATAACATTATGTGGACCATAGTCCACACAATAATTTGCCATGAAAAACGCATCCACACTGCCTTAGCTTAGGGTGTGTTTGGTTGGTGGGTTTTGCCTATAGGAATGGGTATAAAAGTGATTGTTGCTGTTTGGTTGATAGGTTTTTAGAACACTACTATGGGTTTCGAATACCCCATCAATTCAAAAACTCATACCCAAATAAAATAAGGGTTTCATTCCCTTATTCATTCTCAAACACTACTATTAGTAACCATTCCCATTCCACCCTACTACCAAACATGTTAAATACTTTCACCAAAACCCATTACCATTACCAAGTATTTGATACCCATTCCGATTCCGATTCCTATGTGCGAACCAAACACACCCTTAGTGTATTAGTAATAAGCAGTATTTGGGAGAAAAAAAAAATACAATTTTTCTTAATAATAAAAGTTGGTGAGAATTTACTTTAAGTGTATCAAGAAGCTAGTTTCATTTTAGATTCGACCAAGCTTCCTCTCCAATGTAGAATTTCTAAATACTATTGCTTTAGGTAATTATACTTTTCTTTTTCCTTGCTATATTCTTGATTGTAATCTGTCTGTTTAACTTGTACTACAAAAAATTGGATTCAGCATCAATTACCTACAGTTAATTTGAAGGTATGTATCTAGCGACCACATCACTAATTGATGCTTAATCTTCTTTACATAATTACATATATGTTAGAAACTTGGGTTAGTTTCGTATAAAAATAAATTTGAGACTCAGTCAAACAAGGAAACATTTGATCGTAGTCTTTCAGATGCCAAATACACTATCTTAAAAGTTTTTTAATTTCTCTTATTATGCAGTAACGATAATCAAACCAGAACTTTTAAAATATAAAAATATGTCAAACTTTTCAAGTTACTTTTATGAAAAATTTACTAGGGAAGTAACTGGAGATTTTTAGTCTGTAGAAATTCTCTCGTAAACTCTGCAATAGGTTAGTCAAGAATCGTGTGTGTATGTATATATATAGACGTTTGTTCAAATGTGGTCGCGCCCTCCCGTGCGGCCAGTGGCAGAGCCACAATGGGGCAGCTGCCCCCACTCCCCACCTCATATATATTGTATATATATAAAACATACCAATGTTTAAATAAAGGTTGATGTGGTTTAGGTGGTAAGGGTCTTACATAACATGAAATGGTCCTTTTTCAAATCCTGCAACACTTCTTCTGATCTCTTTGTTTGTTTTTATCTTTTCCTTTTTAATATTAATAATGAGATGAGTGATTTATAATGTGTTTTTCATTCAAACTATTGATCTAATTAATTATGTTTTATATAATGTTTTAAATATTTTTTTTTATCTTGATGTATTTTGATTTTTCATCTCTAGTCAACAATTTTTATAACTCGATTTTATCTAATTAATTATGTATTATATAATGTTTTAAATAATTTTTTTTTATCTTGATAGTATTTTGATTTTTCATCTCTAGTTAACAATATTTATAACTCGGTCTCTAAGTGCTTCATTTTTTTTTTCAAAATATCTCGTTGGTTTTAATACTTCGCCTCCGCTTGAAATTGAAAAGATTTATGAATCCGCCACTGCGTGCGGCCGCTTGGCAAAATACATCAACAGTTTTAACAAAAGACATCAATAGTGTTAGGAAAAAGCACAACAATGAAATGTACAAATACACCAAAAAACACACAACACACCCAAAAAATGCACCACATAACTCCCGACCCCTAATGGTGTATTTTCAAACACTGTGTGGTGCTTTTATTCATACCTAATGCTGCGTTTTTTATAATGCGTACCTAATTTGTGCATATTTTTTGTTGTGCATTGGCTAACATGGATGGTGTATATTTGTATAACTATTGATGCGGCCGCACTGACCGCACGAGAAAGCGCGACCGCACCTGAACTCGACTCTCTCTCTCTCTCTCATATATATATATATATATATATATATATATATATATATATATATATATATATAGTGAAAGGTTCCCGTGCGGTTGAATGCTTCCCGTGCGGTTGTGCGGTTATTAATGTGCGTGAGATTTGTACTCAATGTGCGTGAGTGTTATGTCTAATGTGTCTGAGATTTGTACTTAATGTGCGTGAATGTGTAAAATGCAGCAGAAAATATGGATATCAGCTTCTTCCCCATTCCCAGTAGCCATGGCCCCCTCCCTGATGATGATGATCCATGTTTTCGTGCAGTTGAAAGGTTCCCGTCTACCACCACCCAATTTCCCGGCCGAAATCATTGTTTTCTACTCTCCAAACCCACTGTACTTTTCGTCTCAATTCAACCACCACCATGGTAACCGCCCCAAACACAATATAATGGTTTTGTAAGTGCCCTGAATAGTGAATAGCACCATGGAAACCCAATCTGGACACCGTCTTTTGAATGGAGCGTTTGGGAGTATTATTTTCGGGAACTACTCATGCACATTAAGCACAAATCTCACGCATATTAAGCACTATACTCAGGCACATTAAGTACAAAACTCACGCATATTAACATGACGCACATTAAGTACAAATCTCAGGCATATTAAGCACAACACTCACGCACATTAAGTATAAACCTCACGCACATTAATCCTATATATATATATATATATATATATATATATATATATATATATATATATATATATATATGTATATATATATATGGTTGCATTCAAATACAAACTCCCTTAAAATACAAACTTGAGCTCGTGCACACATCAACATACTTACAAGCACACAGAGCGCACTGCCAACACTTTCTGGGATTACCTCGTGCACACATTAACATACTTACATGCACATAGCGCATAGGAGGAAAATCACAATCATCCATAAAAGACCGTGCACATAGTAATATACTTGCATGCACACAACACGTAGGAGGAAAAATCACAACCATCTATCAAAGCTCGTGCACACATTAACATACTTACATGCACACTGTTTGTATTTTAAGGGGGATTTGTATTTTAAGGGGAGTTTGTATTTCAAAACAATCATATATATATATATATATATATATATATATATATATATATATATATATATATATATATATATATCCATCATCAAACATCTACTTCTTTGTCCTCTTAAAACCAGAGTAATGAAGGCAATAATAGGGTTAAATATCACACATTGATCTAGTCTAGATCAACCGTCCAGAATGAAGAATTTTTTTTTTTTTTTAAGAACGTGGTGATATTTTCGTCATTTTTTGTAAGTGTATATTTTTTTGTCTTTTGGCACATTATTTTCTTTTTTTTCTAATGCATACTTTTGTCTCTACGAGTGCATGCTTTTCTCTCTTTGAGTGCATAATTTTTTTCTTCAAACTGCATAATTTTCTTTCTTTGAGTACACATTTTTGTGCCTTAGAGTGTATAATTTTGTGTCCTCGAGTACACATTTTTATGCCTACTTCCCGGTGGTAGGGAATATCCCGACCGACATAAGCTCCACCACGACCGGCTTGCCTTTGTCTATGTCCTTTTATCTTTGCAGGTAGCAGGTCGGGCTTTTCATGAAGACCCCGGTCGGGAAGCGACCGGGAATTGCCCGAGCGTTGGTGTCGACCACCGAGCGGTAGCCCTTCGGCGAGAGAGCTGACAAAGGACACGTGGCGGCTCTTTACGACGACAGACAGGGCGCCTGGGAGGATGACACGTGGTGGCTACGTGGAGGACATGCCGAACGGCTGGAATCCTGTCCCCGGTATAGCGGCTATAAATACCCACAGTAGCTACAGTGTAAGGGACTTTTGGACGATCGATAGGTTGTTACTAGAGAATCCCGACCGCAGTCAGTCGGTACTCAGAGCAACCAAGTAAATTGTACTTAGGGCCTTTGCCGTGATCAATAACATCTTTTACTTGCTTTAATTGGTCTCGGATTTATTTTATATTGCTTACGTAGAATTAGCAGTATCACCCGGTCTCATAATTAGTAGATCGACTTTTCCAGTCTCATTATCATTAGACCTTCTCAACCTCATTATTAGGAGACCTTGCCAATTCATTATCATTAGACCTCTCGGTCTCGAAGCATCCCTCCACGTGTCAGACCTCTAAGGACACTTGACAAGTATAGCTTCACCACCCGATCGACCTCCTTAGAACACGAGGAGGACATGCCGAGCACCTGGTATGTGTCCCCTCTCCCATTCTTATTTAAAGGACATTTATTTCACAATGGGGACGCTTTTAGTTACCAACCTACACCACTATATTTGGAGTCTCCCGACCTAGTAAGGTGAAATTCTTATCTAGTTTTCTGACCATATTATTATTTTACCTATAATAGAGTTCTCGGTTACATTTATCCGACCTGAAACAATTTAGTCTATCAAATGGCGTGTTTTGTTGGGGCCGAGCAAAAAAGTCCGAGTCCTCTATTTTCCCTGGTCGGTCTCCCGACCTCACCCGTTCATCTCAAATCGTAAACTGCTCCACTCTTAATCTACCTCTAGCAACCATTATTACGGTCGGCACCGATCAGGCTGCATAAGCAGAAAAAGCTTTCGAGCTCTCCACCTGTGGCCAACCTATTTGAAATTAGAGGATAATCTTAAGCTTTCCGACTTGACTGCTTGGATTATCGACGGGCTCCGAGTATTTAAAAAAAAAATCATTAAAAAAGTGAAGTGTATACATATTTTTACTTAAAACAAATAACAACAACAAAATTAACAAAAATTGAAATTAAACACAGAAAAGGACATAAATAAATATTAGAAAAGAACTTCAATAATTTATTAGTAGTAGTCATCATATATAGCCATGGTGACGGTCATAACAACATGTGAAAGTTACAAATTTATACATAGTGTGAGAACATTGAGGGCACTTCAAATCTTCTGGTATTTTATCCAAAGTTAATGGATATTCAAGAGTACAACAAGAATGTTGATCCTGAGAAGAAGCAAGCTTCTCATAACAATCTTTGAATGCTTGGCTGAAGCCTTTGTTGTGTATATTGTTCTTTCATTTTTGGTACGCATTCATCACTCTCATCATTTTGTCACCTAAGTCACATGCTACTACTTCTTCCCCTTTGCTTAACAAAACCCATGCTCCAAATGTTGTGCTTTTAGCTTCGTAAGCTAGTAACTTTTGGAGTCCAAGATAAATTTTGTCTTCATCTTCAATACGACCAGTCTTATTTAAATAATTAATTCTTGATAGAAGTGCACTTCGAAGTCGTGTCCAAAACCACAAATATTCTGCATTATTAGAAGTAAGTGCATAACCACTTATATTTTTCACAAGTGACTTCGCTTTCTTGTTATTTCCAATGTATGCAAATTTGATATCCAATTGGATTTCAGAATTGACCTCCTTCACTTTAGTTGCAAATTCTTGAATACATTTAGCGTCATTTCCTCCACACAAAAAAATGTCATATTTCATTGCAGTCTGTTCAAAAAGAAAAATAATATTAATATAAATTATTGCAGGGTTATAAAATGCCCAGAACAAATTAAAACTTAAGCATCAAAATGTTCAAATAATTTTTTTGTTAGGGTGAGGACAATATGCAATTAAAATCAATTGTATGTTTACTTATTCGTTTCATATGAGCGCTTAAAAATGGACTTACCCAATTTGCTATCCACTTATCTATGTCATACTTCTTTGTTAAGGGCCAGTACGGTCGTACTTTGTCATTACCCAAAAGTTTAAGATTCCATGTCTCTTTATTCCAAAGCATTTCTTCATTCTTACTAGTGTAATTATAGGAAGAGTCCTGCACAATAACAAAATAATTATATTAATAATAAGAATGATTACTTAGCTTGTTGGACTTGAAACAATAGATATCAAAGTCATTTAATTAGCAAAAAATGAGTGGGAGAAACGTACCAAATCTTGTATCCTCATATTAATGTCATTTCTCCAATCATCAATTCTCTTTCTAATGCAATTAACCAATTCACGTTTCATCTCCTCAATATCATCAATGACAGAACAAACACCTGAAGTCATTTCCGTCAACTCTTTTTGTAATAAAGAGATGATATTGTTTCCACTACCAACAGTCTGTGTATTCAACACAAGGTGTCCTCTCCACGTTAGGATCATGTGCAATGCATTAGTATGAACTAGTCTTCCGTGTTTGTCAAGTGAAATAATAATAGGTTCCCCACAACTCTGAAAACTCGGAACGCATCTCTCCTTCACAAATCTAATGAATTGAGATGTAATCCTTTTGCATGGATCCAACAACTTTAATCCGTAATTTACTGATGGCGTCCTTGCTTCAATCCAAATTTGAGGATAATCTATTATTGGAATCAAAATAGGCCAAGGCCTTACGCTGAACTTGGAAAAGTGACGGTAAAGAAAAGCGGCCTCAGAGAGATTTGTGTGTGACACTATTATCAATAGCACCCTCTCATTTTTTAATTCAATGAATGGAAACTGCATTTAAATCAATAGTACAATTTTTAATAATAAAAAAAAATTAATAACATAACTTTAAAATTCAAAAAAAAAAAAAAAAACTTAAGTTTATATATATATAATTTTTAAATTATAATAATTCTTCAATGATGGGGCAGGGTGGGGAGGAGTATCCTCATCCCCGTTTCTTAAAAATTTCCCCATCACATGCACAATTTATGTTTGAATATATTTATTTAGGAGAATAAAATTCAAATACTTAATTACCGTACTATGATCAAATATCAGCTCGTAATCATCATTGACATTGAATATCAACTTGAGAACTTCAAGATTATTATGAGAATGACTAAAACCATGCAATAATGCTTCGTAAGCTTTTTCTGTTCTCTTTGCCTCTGCAAATATTACAAAACTATAATTAATACACTTACAACACAGCGATCCAACTTTCTTTTGGGTTTGGCAGTTAAAGTACATGGTAATTGTTTGAAAGCTATCATTTGATTGGCACCAACCTAACAGTGGGTAGCAAGCAGAGAGTATGGTTTTGGATTTGGCAATTAAAGTGGATTCTTCCATTATCTCATTTTTGGACCTGAAAGAAAATAATATATGTTGAAACATTAGAAACCCTAATTAATATATAGAATTAACCTTTTGCTTTTATCGCACTAAAAATTTTTTATACTCTACGCATTGGAGAGCCGAGTCTAAATAACATCTTGCTATTGTCGAAACGTGAGGTTGACTGTATTGTTATGCAAGTTTATAAATAAATAAATAATGGTGGATCTAGAAATCTTCTCCGGTGGGAGAGAAAGATTAAAAATAATTATATATTTTGAAATAAAAATGAAATACTTAGAGGCCAAGACATAAATAGTGTTGACTAGAGATTGAAAAAAAAATGCAATAGAAAAAATTCAAAACAAAATATGAAACATAATTAATTAGATAAAATAATGGTTCTAAGGGAAAACACATTATAAATCACTCATCTCACTATTAATATTTAAAAAATAAAAAAATAAAGTCATAATTTTACAACTAATAATTCGAATTAGAATTAGAAATATCTTAAGAGTTAATGCCAGCCAAGGTTCCTCGACTTTGTAATTTTGACCTCCAACGGTCCTCCCATTAGTATCTCACGTTTGCACCATTAATTCCAGGGGTAAAATGTTAATTTCTTGTTGTTTATTGATTTTTAAAGTTAGAAATACATATTTAGAGTAGTTCTTTGGGCTGACTCTTTTGGGCTGCAATTAGGGGTGGACGTTGGTTCGGTTCAGGTGACACTCGAATTTTATTTTGAATATCTGAAAATTTCGAGTGATTGTTTGACTTCGGATATCCGAACCAAATTTAATTCGGATATATATTCGGTTCGAGTGAAATTATTTCGAGTTAGTTTGGATATGCCCAAAATTTTATTTTTATCAATTTTGTATTTTATAACGGTTTTATTATTTTTGTATTTATATTTTTCATATAATATTCGGATATAATAAATTTTAAAATATTCGAACCGATAACTATTCACATTCACCCGAAATTTAAAATTCAGTTCGGGTTTCGGGTGGTAGTTCAGTTAATCCAAATTACGCCCACCCCTAGGTGCAATAAATTGAGAAAGTATCCCAAATGCTCTATCGGGCCGGGGTGTGGGGGCCCTTAGGGTTGGGGTTCAGCCTTTGGAAGAATAAATTGAGAAAGTATACCTGAACAACAAAAACTCAAGCAATTTAACACAAAATGACTTGTTTATCTGGTCTGGGATTATCAAATTTAAAATTTATTTTTTAAAAATAATTTTAAATAAAATAAATATATAAAAAAAAAAAAAAAAAAACAAACAAGAACACCACTGGCAGGGTCCCTTGGTCTCCTGGCCGGAGACGAAGCTCGTTTCCGGCCATGGAGACCAAGGGACCTTCGTCTCCATGGCCAGAGACGAAGAACATCTTCAGTCAAGGTCCCTTGGTCTCCATGGCCGGAGACGAACCTCTTCGTCTTCAGTTTACTAACTATAATTTTGGCATATAGTAGTTGTAAGCGTCGATCCAGAAACTATATGAGTTATTGATGCATGTGTGCTAGACACTAAATAGAGTGAGTTGTGCAACAATAATATAATCTCTAGAGCATGCAGGAAATAAAATAATAGATTTGATATTATATACTTACTCAACACATAGAGTAGGTTGGATACAAGTAAGAATACTTCTGGTAATTCAATAAGTCGCCAAAATTACTGGTTGCGGTGGAGAAAAAAATGACGGTTGATGAAGCTCACTCACACATTTAACGAGGTTTATAATCAACTTAACAATAGAATCTTCAGATATTTTTTCAGATGGCGCAACAATTAGATTTTGCTTGAAAAGTCTTAACTTGTTTGGTAATTTCTTCCAATGACTGTATCGAGAAATAATGATGAAATCTCCACAGATCAACGAAAAAGCTGCAAGCATCATGACTACCTTGGCTTCCCAAGGGTAAGTCGATAATATACTTAGTAGACAGATTGTTGCTAAGTGACAATCGGTATCATTATTCAAACTTTTAAATGCTACCTGTAAAAGAAAATGAACATGAAAAGGAAAAAAAATGTTCATCTATATTAACATGCACACAAAAGTAATATTACAAGTATATATGATACAGATATTTAACATAAAGTATATATTAAATTTAATGAAGTTAATTTAAACATACAGAGGCATGCAATGAGATGTTACATTGCATGGCGTTTGGTTGGACAGGGGAATTAAGGAGAAAAAGAATTGTAATTCTATGGAAAAAGAATAATGTTATAATAAAGTAAGAATATAATATAAATAACATTGTTTGGTAGGAGGAATATAATTATTGAATATTAAAAGGGAAGAAGTGATATAAATACTAGAATGTCCTTGTATAATAATAATAATAATAATAATAATAATAATAATAATAATAATAATAATAATCATCGAGGATAATTTTGTCATTTTATTCTTTTCTCCTTCCCCGGCATATTGCTGTTAAATTTCAATTTGGGGGAGTTATGAATTTCAATTCAATGAGTTGAGTGAATTGCAATTCCCTCCAACCAAACAATGTAGTTTTAAATGCTAAAGAATTTAGTTGGAAAAAAATTGTAATTACATCGAACCAAACACCCTGATACAATGTGCAAATTTTAAAAACTTACCTCGAAGGAAAGTTGTTTTATTTGATATGAGAGTTCCTTCTGAATGAGCGTTTGCAGCATTGGCATGTCTTTCTCGACCTCTCGAAACTCTTGAATGGACTTTTCAGTTATCAGCATCTCTTGTTCAACTTCTCTAGAAACCTAAAATAAATTACATCATATATTCCTCCATTATTAACAAAATGTGACAAAAACATCAAACAAGCTTCATTGTCAACCTGAACTAATAGAACATTTAACATTTATATTAAAGGTTTAACCAAGTCAAATAGTTAATAATGGTCAAATAAATCAAAATTAGATGATAATAAGCTAACTATGTTACCAAACAGGACCAAAATGCAAAAGTTTAAAAGCAGCAGGTTGACAAACCATGTTAGGGTTGAAAATATTTTCCGCTAAGTTGATAACAAAATCTGCATCTAACTCAATGTTGATATTGGCATTGAGATGATGAGTAGCCATTACTTGTTTTGCAATGACAACATCATCAAGCTCCATGTTTGAGAGTGGCTTATGCAGCACCGTACCGCTGGTGGTTGTGAAATCAATGGCTGAGATAATAGAGGTATAAGTTCAGTTGTTTCTATAGGCTATAACATGTATATGTTTCAATACCCTCTTATATAAGCCATATGAAATTAGGAATCAAATGGGACAATATTTTTATGTTCGATTCCTTGCCTCATGTTTACTTCATTTAGGAATTTTTTTTATCTTCAATTCCTTGCTTCAAGTCTACTTCAATTAATTGAGACCCCCCCCCCCCTTTTTTTTTTTTTTTTTTTTTTTGGTATTCTCAATTTCTTGCATAAACTTAATTTCAATTAGAACCTTTTTTTTTCCCCTTATGACACTATATAATAATTTAAAATGTAAATATCAAATTTTGACTCATAAAAATTTTTCTTTACTTTTTTGCTTGCTCTAAATATACGTAAAACGCATCTACACGTAACACATATTTAAGCATAAAAGTAAAAGGCTTATATGGAATAAACAATGTCTACATTTCATGTTGTTTATATTATCGTTCTAACAGTGACAATGTTGAATGAAGTAAGTCAGATTGCGAATAAAGAATTTGTGGTTTAACTAGATTAAAGTAAATAATTTATATATATGTTATTTTTCATTTTTCTTTTAATTTGCTCAATGTATTTAATTAATGTTGTAATCAATAAGTGCGGTGTATGCTATGTATATCTGATCTCACCATATAAATAAAGTTACAAACTAATATTCCAATACCAATTACCAAATATGAACATAGCTATAACTTAGAGACTAAATATGTTCCACAAGTTTAACTAGAAAATAAAAAACACATCCACACTACTTTAGCTTAGTGGATTAGTAATAAGCAGTATTTGGGAGAAAAAAAAATATAATTTTTCTTAATAATAAAAGTTGGTGAGAATTTACTTTTAAGTGTATCAAGAAGCTTGTTTCATTTTAGATTCGACCAAGCTTCCTCTCCAATGTAGAATTTCTAAATACTATTGCTTTAGGTGATTATACTTTTCTTTTTCCTTGCTATATTCTTGATTGTAATCGGTCTGTTTAATTTGTACTACAAAAAATTGGATTCAGTATCAATTATCTACAGTTAATTTGAATGTATGTATCTAGCGAGCATATCACTAATTGATGCGTAATCTTCTTTAATTTACATATATGTTAGAAATTTGGCCTGGGTTAATTTCGTATAAAAATAAATTTGAGACTCAGTCAAACAAGGAAACATTTGATCATAATCTTTCAGATGCCAAATACACTATCTTAAAAGTTTTCAAATTTTTCTTACTATGCAATAACAGTAATCAAACCAGAACTTTTAAAATATAAAAGACTGAAGTGTCATCCCGCACCATAAACCATAATCGATTCTTGATGTCGCACCTTTTGACCTTTTATATCCGCTGTTTTGATCTACAAACCATTAAAATTTTGTCATCTAGACTTTTTAGCAGGTTTCCCGGTTTCGCGGCTGACATGGCGTCGGTAATTATTGAGGTGGCGCTTATTTTTATTAATTCTCTCTAAATTGAAGTATTAATTAATATCTAAATCCTTTGGTTTAGGAAGACTGGTTGATTAAGTTGACTTGTTTTGGAACTTACGCCAGTCTCGCTCAACATGAACACCCACAGATTATCAAGAGCTCACCAGCTTCGTTGCCCTCACGCCCAGACGCGCGCCACCGCTTTGACTTCACCACAGCCAACCCTGCTATAATAGACGCCGTAGAGGGTTACTTCGTCGTTTAGACGCCGTGGAGGGCTCTCTATCTATCTATCTTCTTCTGTAGCCAACCCTGCAAGTGGCACACTTAGGCACGATAGAAAACCAAACTGATAATAATGAAAACGCTGCAACTTTTTAGCGCGCAATGAATACAAGATTGATTACTACAGAAATTTCAATCCCTGATGAATGAACGAATGAGTACATTAAGATTAAATACGACGCTCAAGGCAATAGGAAAAACATACGGTATTGTTTTGTTTTGCAGCGATACTAATTCCACATGTCATTTCTTTTTCTCATTATGAGAGCAAGCTTTCAATTCGATTCAATAAAAATGCATACATGTGTAGGTGAACTCACACGCCACCAGCAACACCTCCAGCGACGAGAGACTTGCAGATACTTAAGACGGCATGGCTTAATTTCCTCCCTAGCGAGCTTCGCCTCTTCGGCGAGGTTTACAATCTTCTCCACCGCCAATTCGCCAGCCTTCACATCCTCCGAAGCCATACAAGACAAAGGGAAAAAAAATAGATGATCTCGCCAACAAAAGATCGAAATATCCGGAGAACTTAAATACAATAATTAAGCCAAACAGACCACACTATGATCTCGAGTCTCGACTCCTTACGATCGATCTACGACTCGACAACTTATCCAAGCACTTGCATTTTTTTCTCCAAGCGTTCCACACTCTATCTCTCTAGGTGACAGAATTTTAATGGTTCTCTAGCTTGGCGATTGTAAGTGTAAAAATATTACACGTTAGACCCTCTTATAATTGGCTCAAATTAGTTAAGAGGTTAGTGTCTGGATCAGCAACAGGAGGTGAGAAAGAGAAGGGGAAAACTCGGTCAACGTGCACTTAGTCAAGACCCTACTTACAAGGAATATTTAAATTAAGTGAAGCAGCTTAAATGAGGAAATATAAGATGCACAATTTCAGATCAAGGAGGCTCTTCAATACCTCTATAAAATGCTACTTTGTTTAGCATTTCAATTGAAGATTTTTGAAAGAGAATATTTTGATCTAAATCTTACTTATCATACTCACGGTTGATTAGATACTTACTGGTGAAGAAGATCCCACGACGGGTTCACGATGCAAAGAAGATAGCATGCACGTCAAGTCCACGTAGTTGCTGGAGTAGGTTCTGGAATAGATGTAGTTTATGCTTTATAGTGTAATGTTCTCTCCTATTATTGTACTACTATTCATCTAGTGGATTTGGATTTACGTGAGTGGCCCCGCAGACGTAGGATGTTGGTCCCAAAAGAGGTAAGGTGAAAGTCTAGAGAGGGGGGGGGGGGGGGGGGTGAATAGACTTTCTAACTTTTTTTCGCACAGCACAACAATTGCTAAGCCAGAGATAAACCAAAACTCTTAACTAGATTGTTAGAGTATGGTGCACAGCGGAAATAAATAAACATAAAGTGTGTGTGAGATAGTGTGAGCAGTATATCTCGTGTAGAGCGAATATGTAAAGAGCAGTAAGTAAAGAAAGCAGTAAAGAACACAAGACAATTATAGTGGTTCGCGAGGTGGTGTAATCCTCCTACTCCACTTGCTCTTATCTCCAAGAGCAATTCACTATATCTACCACTCCTTGGTTCCAAGATACAATGAATTTCTGTGATCTAGTGCTTTGATCACAAAGCCCGCACTAACCACGCCCAGTGACACCACACTGCTGCTTCGGGTTTCACGTCGCCGCGCTACTATCTCAGGATTTCACGACTCCGCGTTACTTTCCCCCCGTCTTCCACACTCCGGTAGAAACGTATCCCGTGATCTAGTGCTTTGATCACAAAGCCCGCACTAATCACGCCCAGTGCCTCCGACACTGCTTCTTCGGATCTCACAACTCCGTGTGACAATCCAGGATTTCACAGCTCCGTGCTACTTTCCTTCCTTCTCTTGTTTTGCTCCAAAACAAGTGTTGTCTTGCTTCCAACTTCTGAGACTCTGTAGATGATCTTCAATGATGCGCTTTGATGAAGATAAACACTCTGGAATGATTTTTCTTGATAGCTCTGAGTGTTTTCTCTCTTTGAATATATCAAGTAAAGCACTTGATATTTTTGCTCTGCTTTGCTCTGTTTAAGAACTCTCAGAATATTTTTCTTTTGAAGCTCTCTGAGTTCTTTTTCTTTTCTCACTTCTCACTTGAAGATTTTTGGTATGCTCTGTACCAAATGAGATTTTTGCTCTATGCTCTTTTAAGCTTAATTGCTCTATTCGATCTCCTTGATGAGTTCGAATTTCCTGCTCTCTTGTTCGTGAGTTTCTCAACTGCTCTTCTCTTTTTTTCTTTTTCAAGTCTTCATATCTTCATCATTTTATAGCTGGTAATGAGAATATGCCCGTTGGAAAGAGACGCTCTCATTTTTGAAATCTTGTATCTTTTTGTCAGAGATCTTATCATATCTTCTGCAAAGATGTCAGAAAGGATAAGCTAGCCGTTTGATGGATCTTCATCTCCATGTAAATGAGCTCCCAAACTTCATCTGATATTCCTCTGGTTTAACGTTGAGTGAGAATATCTGGGTCTCTGTTTTGGTGTAGAATGGCTTCTCTGATCAGCTCTGAAGTGGTCCTTGTATCTTTGGGATTAAAAATATTCATTAATTTAATCCCATACTAGTTAGACTTGTATTTTTTCTTGTGAGAATATTTTTACTGTAAGTTCATCTTCATCTTCTTCATTCTCACGTCGGGGTGTTCTCAGACTTCAAATTGGTTGTGAACTTCCACCCAATTTGAATTTTTCCTTTGCAATTGACACCTAATTTCAATTGGCTTGTAATTGGCACCCAATTTGAATTTCTCCATTGTAATTGGCTCCCAATTGACTTTGACTTGCAATTGCCTCCCAAACTTCTCCTAGTGCTTTCAATTGCTTCCCAATTTGAATTATTGACTTTGACTTCGAAATTGGCTTCCAGACTTCTCCTGGTATTGAATTTCATCTCAATTCATGTCTTCTTTGACGCTCTCCTGGTATTGAATTTCATCTCAATTATCTCAATTCATGTCTTCTTTGACGCTCTCCTAGTATTGAATTTCATCTCAATTCATGTCTTCTTTGACGCAATTGCCTCCCAAACTTCTCCTGATGCTTTCAATTGCTTCCCAATTTGAATTATTGACTTTGACTTCGAAATTGGCTCCCAGACTTCTCCTGGTATTCATTGACTTTGACTTCGAAATTGGCTGCTTTCAATTGCTTCCCAATTTGAATTATTGACTTTGACTTCGAAATTGACTCCCAGACTTCTCCTGGTATTCATTGACTTTGACTTCGAAATTGGCTCCCAG